CCCGCCCCCCAAGACTGATGCTTACCGTACTTACTCACTCGGATAGATAAGTTGGGCAGACCGGAGTAGAGGCTACTGCAGTGGCTCTTGGATTTGACTACACTTCATCATAGAAGTACCTGGGGAACTTCTCAATGCTTCAGTGACATTCCACAGAAATTAAATCACAGTGCCTAGGGGTTAGTCGACCACCAATATTTAATGTCCACAGCCAACTCATGTGCACAGCAGAGTCTGTAGTTTGTGATCCCCCGGCTGGAGACAGCAACCCCAAGGTTCAACCCCACTGTTCTCAACTCATTCTGACCCTTGTTGTGGGATATTCCAAGGAACGAAGGATGTGTAGATACAGTAGGGAAGTCGCCACGATGGGGATGCACTGTTGTCTTCCACAGCTTCCCATCAAGGTGGACACACTGGCACAGTCCGCCATGCGGTGTGGGAGTGTGCTTCATTTGGTTTGAGAGGCCTCCCTAGAGCAGAGGGAGGCCTTCAGAGACAGGCGCAGTGGGACTCCAGGGCCTTCCCTTGTTGGACCTGCAGTAACATTCCTTCACCCAGGTCTGTGAAGCGCTTCTTGTGGGGTGCGAGAGAGATCACGCCAGACGAGTCTAGGATGTATGAAGGGGTCTTTATTAAGCAAATCAATTCAGTTTGAATTGAAATTCTGAGAAAAGCAAATGGTCATTACCATGAAATCCATCCTTGGAACTGAAGACCCATGTCCCAGCTTCCCCAGCAATGTAAGTTAACCTAAGAGACGTGCAACGAACAACCTGGACACACTTACACATGTGCAAACATGCACCTTTTCCTGCTCTCTCTGTCCACATTCCATTACTGCTACATCTCCCCTCACCTCTCCTGGAACTCTGGAAAGTACAAAAATTAGAAACAGAAAGCATGTTAGCATTTGCATCTTGGCTGACTCGCCCAGAGAACAGAGGGTGAGGTATGTAGGAGCGATGCTCAGGGGCTACCTGTCCTGAGTCTGCCCACAAGAAGCAGGAGAGCAGACAGGTGCTGGGAAAGGGCCAGGTGTCAATGCAAGAGCGACAGAAGCACGTGACCGAGAGAGTGTGTCCCTCCCTCTCATGAGCCTTTATGAGGGCTTGAGAGGGGCAGTGGTTACTCACCTCATTACCGTCCCCTGTCAGCTTCCCTGTGATGACAGGGGAGCGTCACCAGCCCACAGCGGGCAGGAAGTACTGTGTAAGTGGGAGAGGTGTGGCTTCCGAGCTCGTGACAAGGAACCACGACACCTGCTGTCATCATCCTGTGGATGACACCACCCGCTAGGCATCACCCTTGGATGATACCACCCGCTAGGCATCATCCTTGGATGATATGGTGGGAAGCAACACGCATAAGGCTCTACCCCACCCCCATCAGATCTCATCAGCTAAGGGAGGACCCAAAGACGAAACTGGACCGTTCTAACCTTGTCAAGGTTCAGGCTGTCTTGAATACTTTGTAAAAATCTGTACTGAGCCTTATTTCCCGAAGAGGATTTGTGGTACAGAATGAAGTTGGAATATAAATAAGAAACTAAGGCTAAAGAATATATACATGCAAGCTGAGATCAAAAGTTCATAATTAGGCCAAGTCATAAGGCTCCACTTGGGTTGAACCTCAAACTTGAGATTGAATATCCTTACAACTACATGGAAGAGGGAAATGTAGTTTGCCAGAAACATCTTATGATTAGAAAGGAAAAGGATGTTAATTCTTTAGGGAGGGCAAGGCTCTTGCGGAGTACCCCTGGGGAGCTTCCGACAGTGTCTACGAATTGTTTCTGTACTGATGACAAAGATCAGTTTGCAGTGCCTTGCAGCATCCCGCAATAAAAGCAAAAATACCAAGTTAAAATTCAATTTACTAAAAACATTTCTAAAGATTTAGGTGACCAGAAATAGGTCGATCTGTGCCAGAACATGAGCCAAATGAATCTACAGCTAAAAGCTGAAAAACCTGGGAAATGAAGGAAAGTAGAGACTCTCATGGTATCATTAATGTCATTATCAATAGAATTTCCTTTTACTCGGATTTTCATAAGGCCTATGGCTACATGTTGTTCCTGGTCTAGGACTGGAGGGTTGCTCCGACCAGCAGAGCCAGTAACGTGGACAGGGAGAAGACCTGGGGATGAAGCACCGACAGGTGACCAGTGATGGTGGCAGTCTCTGCGAAGTCTCCTTTTATTGCTCCTTCACCTCTCCTTATATACTCTTCCCCCCACATCCTCATTTAGCAGGATATTGGATACAGATGAGTCCAATTAGTCTAGGTGTTTTTAGCCACAAGCCCATTTCCTGTTCCTGCCCAGCTCAATGAGCGCTAATCAACTCCTTAGCCCACAACACAGGGTATATGCCCTGTGTTATGGATATCATAGTGGTTTACAACAAGGACTCAGCAAACATTTTCCGCTAAGGTCTGCAAACAAAACATTTCAGTGGGCTTTGGATCTGTGTCACACCTCTTCCTGCCACCGTACTGTAAAAGCAGCCAGGGACAGTACGGATGTTGAGCGGGCATGGCTGTGGTCCAGTCAAACCTGATTATGCGAACAGGCAACAGGTCAGTTTCACCTACACTGGGAATTTGCCAACCCCTAGATAGCCATAAAAATGAAAGCAAGGTACTAATAGGACCTGGGAAAATCTTGGTTGGACAAGTTGAAACTGATAAAAGGGGATGAAGAACATGGCTTGTGGTAGGGGCGCAAGTTCATTAAGTTCATGCAGGAAACATCTATGTATCAAGACAGCCAGGGGGAGAATTTCGAGGGGATAATTCTCATCTCCAAAAGAGCAAGAGAAGATATTGGATTATTTCTAGTATGTTTCATGTGCTTAATTCCTTTACTATTTTTTTCAAGTAAAAAATTTATTTGGGGCCCGGTGTGATAGCCTAGCAGTTAAAGTCCTTGCCTTGAAAGTGCTGGGATCCCATATGGGCACTGGTTCTAATCCCGGCAGCCCTGCTTCCCATCCAGCTCCCTGCTTGTGGCCTGGGAAAGCAGTTGAGGACGGCCCAAATCTTTGGGACCCTGCACCCGTATGAGAGACCCTGAAGAAGCTCCTGGCCTCGGAATGGCTTGGCTTGGGCCGTCGCAGCCGCTTGGGGAGTGAACCATCGGATGGAAAATCTTCCTCTCTGTCTCTCCTCTTCTCTGTATATCTGCCTTTCCAATAAAAAAAAAAAAAAACTTTAAAAAAATCATCTATTTGAAGCTACCTGATGTAGATCCTAACTGGTCTTCTATGAGTGTAGCCTGAAGCACAAAGCTGCTACTGCTACCCTTAGGAAAAAACAAAAATGTGATATTATTGTAAAAGAATAGTTAAGAGCAGATGAAATATGTTGATGATTTATGATGAGCTGAATTCTTAAATACTTCCCACTGGCAGGAAACCATTCTGGAAGGTTCATTGTTGAAGGGCAGCTTCCTTAAAGCGCTGAGCAGGAGTGGGCATTTGGTGGGGCAGTTGGGATGCCTGCGGGGGCTCAAGTGTAAGCTTCTTAGTCAATTTCAGTTCCCTGCTAATGTGCATCCTGGGAGTAGCTGTGGTGGCTGGAGTAGCTGAGTGCCTGCCAGCCATTTGGGAGACCCTGATGAGGTTCCTGTCTCCTGCTTTGGCCCGGCCCAGCCCTGGCTGTTGTATTTGGGGAGTGAAACAGCAGGTGCCAACTTCTCTCTGTCTCTGTTTTTCCAATAAAAAACTTTTTTTTAAAGATTCATTTATTTTTATTTGAGAGGCAGTTTTACAGAGAGGAAGAGATACAGAAAGATCTTCCGTCTGCTAATTTCACTCCCCAACTTGCTGCCATGTTCTAATTGATTCATCTGTGCCATTTGGAATCTCCAAACTAGTCACCTGTCTAGCACCATTAGGGAATTAATAAAATGGTTTCTCCTCCTTGTGATAAACTATTTTGGACTCATGGAGGGTCTTTGCTTGCATGTTCCCAGAGCTTTTCCCAGATACCTAATCCCTGAATACCTAAGCATTCTGGAATGTTTGCTTGATGAATGTATCATAGGTATTTTTCTTTTTTATTTTACACTCTTTTTATTCTGCCCATTAATGATCTAGAGAAGGAAACTGGGGGGCGGGAGCATCACCGCAAGGCCCTGCAGACCCCAGGACATAGGTTAGTCCACTGCACCTCGTCTGAGCCGAGGTCTGTGAGCGCCGGCAGGTGCCACTATTGGCTTATTATTAACATGCACTATTTGAAACCAGGGAAGTTTCAAGCATGAATTTGCCACCAGAGGCTTCTACTTTTTCAGAAGTTAACAAGTCATCAGACATTGTATCCCTTCCTCTTTTCCGCCTGGTCCCTACCCACATGTTCATGGATAGCAGTTACCCCATCATCGCTTGTCTTTGGAGAACAAATTACCTTCAGCAGAACTGATGGTATTACCATCTGGTCATTATTGTAAAATATCCCTGCCACGAATAACAACAAAGAGTGATTTGGAGGTGCTCTCTGCCAAGAAGAAATGAATTGTGGGTGGCACGTGTGGGTACAGCCACAGCTCTGCAGATCTTCCCCATCACAGGGAAGAGCAGCAAATACAACAGGTGCAGGCCATTTGTCTTACTGTCATAGATCAATTACCTGCCCCCAACACTGAGTAGATTTGTAAGAGGCAAACTTGGGCTCCAGAGCCATTTATAAGGTCATTATATCTTTGTTACCTCCACTCCTTTCTGATGTCTACTTCCCCAGAACACACACACACAAAAAAAAAGTATTCAAGCATCTGTTCATAGTCTTACTTCACAAAGCAGTGATGGAAATTGAATGCAGAGACAGATGGATCACCTGAAATAATTTGCTGAACTGTCTGTGCTGTGTGAGAGCCTGGTGCCCAGTATGAATTGCCCATGATCCTGATCAGACACCCGACTTCTTTAACGGGTATCAATTCCGATGGCCTGTTAACTCAGATGTTCACTGATCCATTCTGATGCTCTTGGTCTCAGGGCCTGAGGATCATCTTCTCAGATGCGTCACGGCTCATCTTCCGGCTCAGTTCCTCCAGTGGTGTGCGGGCCACCATCAGACTGTACGCAGAGAGCTACGAGAGGGATCCCAGCGGCCATGACCAGGAGCCCCAGGTACAGAGGCAGAGCTGTGCTCTCAGTGTCTGTGTCTTCATTGCCCCCTGGCCGACCTGTGGAACTTCAGTGCGAGTCATTTTACCTTCTGAAATGCTATAGTGATCGTCTCGGCTCAAAGAAAAGCTTAGTGTGACACTAAGCATGTTTAATTCATTCATTTCAGTGTTTACAGTATAAAAATTGCTGTAGGGGGCAGAGGATGGTGTACCAGCAGATAGGATCTGAGGATCCACGTGCAAGTATGTATGGGACGTGGGTAGGCTGGCAGGGCCCCAGCCTGGCATGGCACACCGCCAAAGGACCAGGCTTAGGGATTTGTGTACTCCTGGGTATAGGGGGCTATGGATTGCTCAGGGAGGCAGGACTACTGAGGGAGTCCCTTCTCAGAGATGTCCACCAGCCAGGCTACTGCAGTTGGAGGTAAATGAAGGGCTGAGCCCAGGTGATTTGGAGGGGTGAAACCAGAGGACCTTTCTAGACTGGCTAGCCTGACTGAGCTCAGCATGACTATCCACATCACAGACACTCACAGGTACTGAAATTAGGGACAGGCTGGGCTGGTCCAGGCCATAACATCCACAGGTGCATCCAATATATTTAAGTGTTGGGTGGACAAGGCTACAACATTCACCAGCACACACAAAGACTAAGCCCTATGGGGCAGACTGTGCCAGGAGGGCCCAGCATCTGTTGGCCAGTGTGAGATCTGTGTCTGGAAGTGGGTGTAGTGGAGGAACCTGTAGAACTTGCCTGGTGGGCCATTGCTCCCACTAGTGAACATTGTAAGTCAGGCCAGGCAGGGCTGTTTCACTTGTTGATAGGTGTGTGAGTTGGCTGTGGGGAGTGTGGACCAGGCAGGGCTGGGCCAAACCATGCATGCACAGGAGCCAGGATAGGGTGCAGGCCATGCTGTGCTAGACAAGACTATCACACCCACTTGTTTGCATGAAAGCTAGGGAGGCGGGTAGGCTAGGCAAGGATAGATTGCAGCATGTACCAGTGAGAGCTGGGACTGGGGCTAGGCCAGGCCATGCCAAGCTGCAGCGTTTGATGGCAAAAGCCAAGTGAGTGATGTGTTATGCTAGGCTGGGTCAGAGCAACCACTGGGAAGTACAAGATCTGTGGCTGGGAGCAGGTCTGATCATGGAACTAAAGGGATGCCCCGGCTAGCCTGAAGTTCCTGTTGGTGAGCGTGAGAGCTAGTATGGGGAGCTGGATGTGGCTACAGCATCCCTCAGCATGGGTGTGGACTGGGCCTGGGGAGTGCCCAGTGGGCTATACTCCAGCACCCACTGGTGCTCACAAGAGTTACAGTGTGTATAGGACAGGCTGGGCTATGTCTCAGCACCTGCCGAGCCATGTGGAAGCTGAATCTGGGAGTGGGCCGGGCGTGGCTGGGCTGTAGTACCCAACAGTAACAGATGGAATGGGTATGGGCTGGTTGGACAAGGCCACTGCACCTGCCAGGACAGTAGGTGGGTCAAGTCGGGTTGGGCCAAGAATCCACTGGTGTGTGTGAGATGTGTGACTAGGACGTGACCTGACATAGGAGCTTGGGAAACTCCTTCGTCAGGATGCAGTCCCTGCAGATGAGCATAAGAACTGAGGCTGGGAGCAGCCAAAACTAAGCCAGGTTATAGTAACGGCTGGCACACATATGAGTCAGGCCTGGGGTGGGCCAGGTTGGGCCAGTTCACAACACCCACTGGTAGATGTGAGAACCAGGACAGGATGCAGCAGACCGTGTTGGGCTACAACACCAGCCAGTTTACACTAGGGCCGAGACTGACAACAATCCAGGCTGGGCTAGCCTGCAGCCTTTTCCAGTGTGAGCTAGAACTGGGGGCAAGCTGCGTAGAGCCAGACTACAGCACCCACCAGTGAATGCTGAGGTCAGACCGGCCGTGCAAGACTGGGCTGTAGCACTCACCAACACAAGGAAAACCACGAGGGGTTGGTGGGGAAGGGCAAGCCTGGTGAGGAGGCAGTGAGGACCCCTCTGCTGGGCCATTGATCCTGTTGGTGAGCATGAGAGCTGGGACTAGGGACAGACCAGGCTGGATAGGGCTACAACAGCCATTGGCCTGCATATGGGATGGGTTGGGGGAATCCAGGGCAGGCTAAACCAGCGTTCCACTGGTGCGTGCATGATCCAGAGTAAATGTGGGCATATTTGGCTCTGCTGCAACGTTGGCTAGCAGTGCTGGGACTTTGGGCAAGTCCTGTTAAGCAGCAATGCAGAATCACCTGGAAAATGCAAAATCCAAGGCTGGGGGTGGGCCTAGTAGGGCAACTGTGGGCACCTCCCTGATGGGCTGCAGCTCCCACTGGTGAGCATGTGAACCAGGCCTGGAGTGGGCCTGGCTGGACAAGCAGTGGCACTCGTTGGTGTGAGTGTGGGCTGGATAGTGGAGTCAGTTGGGCTGAGTGAGGCTTCAACACCCTTTGAAATGTGCAAGAGCCTAATAGGATGCAGGATATAGACTGAACGATTCTGCTACACATATCAGCATGTACAGGAATCAGGGTGGGATTGGACCTGGTGGGAGTTAGTGTGGGTCGCTCTGACTAGGCTGTGGTTCCAGCTGGGGTATGTGAGGGCTGAATGTGTGGTGGGCAGGCTGGGCTGGACTGTAGCATCCATTGGTTTGCATATGAGATATGGCTGGGGACAGAATTGACCAGATGACTGCAACCACCAGTGTGTGTGTAAGTTAATGTGGGTGACGGACTGAGCCGGACCCCACACTGGCTGGCACACACAGAAGTCAGGTCTGGGGTCACCTCTGTAAGGTTTCTTTGGGGACCCTCCCCTTCAGCTAGACCATTGGACTCAAGTCCAACCATGGAGAAAATCACAGGATCTGTGGTCTAACCATGGAGTGCGTGTGTAAGAACTGGGTCTCCTTAGTTGCTGAAGCTTGTGTAGTGGGCGGTATGCCCATATGCATAGGCAGGGCATGACAAACAGTTCATTGAGGCCTGCAGACGATGTCTAGTGTGATAGAGGACAGAACAAATTGGACAGCTCTCCAGATCAAGCTTTGTCAGTATCTGGGCAAATGGAGACTCTAAGGTGGACTACGTCAGCCAATGGACCTTGGAAGGATTTCGTCATCCTTGGAGCAATGAAATCAACAGCATCTTAGAACTATCAAAACCACTTAAGCAGTACCCTGGGAACATGCTCCACATTGGAGACCCTGGGTTGACTTTGGGCGGCCATCCCCTATTCCTGGGTAATGATATCATTGCCTGCTGGGAGGCCCCTTCTCACCCCACTTTCTCCAGACATAAGAAGAAAAAGGAGATTGGAAGCAGTTGTTTCTCCCATTCCTCATCCATCCCCTCCCTAATCAGTAGTCCACATGGGCGTGCATCCTTTTCAACTATGTAAACATCATGAAAATATAATGAATTTCCATTACAGTCTCCAGATATGACAATTGAGACTGCCGTATCTAGTAACAAGTTATTTAACTTCATGCCATTGTAAATTTCTATTTTTCTTTCTGTTGTTGATTTTGTATTATGACTTTCATTTGAGGGGATGTACAGTAGCTGTGAACTGGAGACTTAACATCCAGATGTGAGGATACAATGCAATATGCATTTCTACTTCCAGACAAAGATGGACTCCCAATGAAACAGTTTACTGTATCTTGACAATAGGATGCTGGACTCTCTGCCATTGTCCATGTCTGCAATGATGGACATATGACTGCGTACGAAGAACTATACTTTAGTAATGATATAGAGGAACTAGGTGTGGGGGGAAATTGGGGCTGGGATAAGGGAAATCCCAGGAGCCTATGGAGCTGCATCATAAAATGATAATAATAATAATAATAATAATAATAATAATAATAATAAAATGTTAAAAATATAATGAATTTAGTATTAAAAGATATAAAAGTCAATAGGTAAGTCTTTAACAAAACAGCGGTAATAAAAACCAGATTGACACTTTTGCAGTTCAGTTGGAGGGTGATCCTTAGAAACCGTAACCCTTCAGAGCTTTGACTATTTGTTTGTGAATTTTCAATCTCCAGGAGTTTGGAAAATGCTAGGTTGGAACATGACCTTGAAGTACCAAGTGCAAACCCGGGCTTCCTCCCTGATAATTGCTGTAGCAGCTTCTCCACTCCCACAGTCATGGAGCCACCCTCACTGTTCCCCAGCCACAGACCTGATTCAAGCAAAAGCATCCATGTTGGGGGAGTAGAGGCCTGAGGGTGGTTGTCAGGGTTACCAGTAGTGTGAGGGGACAGGGCAGGTGGCCAGCATCCAGCCTTTGGCCCCTCCACACCCACGCATGGGCTTTGCTTGCCAGGGACTGGGTCATGCTAGGCCAACATAATTTGATAGTGAGTGCGTTTTGCCCAAGATAGTACCAAATCGTGCCGGACTTGGAAGCTTACCCTCTCTTTCCAAATAAGAGTCGCGTATGTCTCACATTGAAAGGGCAGATTAAGTCAGAGCCTCAAAGTCCAGAGCTGTGGGCAAAGTGAACGACATTCCTGGCCTCTCCAGCTCTGACTCACTTTGACACCAAGCTGTTTTTCTTCCACATTTTTTCCCCCTATTTGCACAGGGTGAGGGGTTACGATGCTTGCCTACTTTTCTTTACCTTTTATCATGGACTACATCCAGGTCATTAGAACTGGGCGAAAATAATGGTGTATGTATATGGGCCTCTCCCTGAGGTGGCCCACAAAAACAACAGTGCTTTTTTGGGGCAACACATGGGCAGTGTTTTCTGAAAGGCTTCCTTTAAAGCTGTAGAAGATTGTGGGATGAAGAAAGCGTAATCAATGCTTGCTGGTTTAGAGTTTACCAGTTCGAATGGTTGGGGGCTCTCATTGTTGATACTGTGGTTGATCGCTAGTGGCTAATTTTCCCTAGTTTGCTTATTGCAAGAGTTTTTTTTCCAGACCCCACCAGGTGAACTTCACAGCACATCACTAGACTAAAAAAAAAAAATTTTTTTTATTACA